CTGGAAATCAGCATATTCTGGTGATAAGACCAACTCACCTCCCAGTGCGTGTTTTTCACTGCCAGGTCCTTTGCGTACTTGTCCAGAAGTTCATATTTGAACTCCCAGTGTTTGATAACCTCTACAAGTTTAGCTTTGCTGAAGGTATTTGTGGCCTCTGTGAGCCTCTGAGCGGCTTCCTGCTCACACACTACTGGGCTAATTATTCCAGCCATGGCACAGTTTGTTTTGACTTGAATTGTGCGTAGTTAGAATAATTGAAGTGTGTCTGTACGAAACCGTGTTTCTTTGTAGAAAACGGTAACTGTCTTTAGTAGATTTTATCTCTGTAAAAGACTGTATTGTTCGTATGTTGAATGTAGTTTTCTGTAGAAGTTAGTGTATCTAGTGAATCCGAATAACCTGCAATTAACACGAACTGTTCCTAGGGAGTTCCAGAGTATAAATGTGAATCACCCTTGCATGTTTTGAATGTTCCGAATTCCAATCCAACATCAAGGCAGATGATGTCATAATTTATCTGGTGATGACGTTATGACATCATCAGCAGAGGATGTCATGAGGTGTAGGTGCTTGGATGTTCTTTATCATGGCCTTCAAAATGGATTCTTAATTGAAGTGTAAAATAACAATACCCAACACCATGTTCACTTCAAGCATTTAAATATATTACTATTATGTTAATTAACCTAAGGTAAAATGTGAAATAAATTGATGAATTTTTTATTTGCTTTGTCTATTTTCTATGATTTCTCAAGTGTTAGGAATCACTTACGGGTGGCAGTTGTTTAGATATGATTTTAAGCTAATTGCAATTCAAATGTGTTGATTATATACAATTTATATTTTCAGAAGGAAATTTAAATCAACAAAGAAGTCATGTTCAAGGAATCTCTGTTACGATACATTATTCATCACCAAACTTTTTAATCTGCTCAGTTATTATATATATTATTATTAGCATGTTTTCCTTTTCTTCAAGGTTCAAGGTTCAAGGCTTTTATTGGTCATACGTACATAGCTACAGTGTAGTTATGACAATGACAATCTTAGGTCACAGGCTCCTCCAACAGTGCAACACAATAAAACAGAAAAATAGTGCAAGTAAATAAGTAAAAATTGTAAAATAGTGAAAAAGTGCAACAAGTGATTGGAATATGATATATTAGATAAATAATTGTTAAGTTGCAGCCAGATTAATGTTATGGATATTGTTTCAAAAGTGCAGGTGTGACAGAGACACTCAAGAGACACTCAGAGACACTCATGCCCCTTTCACACCAACGCGTTTTCAGCGCCGGCTCGGAGCTAGAGCCTGAAAAGTACCGTTTTTTCTTCTTCACACCGCAGCGGCGCCGCCTCTTAGCTCCGGAATCCGGTTCGTTTCCAGCTCCAAAAAATTGTCGGTCGAGAAGCAAGACTCCGGAGCTAAGAGGACACTCAGAGACTCTCAGAGACGCTCAGAGACACTCAGAGACTCTCAGAGACGCTCAGAGACGCTCAGAGACGTTCAGAGACACTCAGAGACTCTCAGAGACGTTCAGAGACACTCAGAGACGCTCAGAGACACTCAGAGACGCTCAGAGACACTCAGAGACACTCAGAGACGCTCAGAGACACTCAGAGACTCTCAGAGACTCTCAGAGACACTCAGAGACGCTCAGAGACGCTCAGAGACACTCAGAGACTCTCAGAGACGTTCAGAGACACTCAGAGACTCTCAGAGACGCTCAGAGACACTCAGAGACACTCAGAGACACTCAGAGACTCTCAGAGACACTCAGAGACGCTCAGAGACGCTCAGAGACGCTCAGAGACACTCAGAGACTCTCAGAGACTCTCAGAGACGCTCAGAGACGCTCAGAGACGCTCAGAGACTCTCAGAGACTCTCAGAGACACTCAGAGACACTCAGAGACACTCAGAGACTCTCAGAGACACTCAGAGACGCTCAGAGACACTCAGAGACTCTCAGAGACGTTCAGAGACAGATTTGTGCGTCTGTTGCTTTACTGTAAATTGTGAATATACTGATAAACAAAAACAGGCAACAGTGTTGGACTTATGAGGTGTTGATATCCTTGTTTCAGCTGTAAATATAAAAACATGTAAATGTTGATTTCATGTCTTTGTAGCGATCTCTGGCTAATGTCACAATGAAATAATGAAGGTCTCAATACTGTATCCTCTTGTGGTTGGGTGTTCCTTAGAGGGAGATGGGTACTCGTATGTAAAAGACTTGAAATTGGAAGGATGTTGTTTTATATCAGACAGTATTTATTTGTTTGTGATCATATGATTTCTCCCATTTTAAAAGGTAATCCACTAACCCTCCAAGGAATTCCTTCAACCTCCAATTGACTTCTTTCCACAATCGTGCAGTTTTTATATCCCCCTCTTTAACCAGCAATCAAAAATGATTGTTGATACATCTTCTGTCTATGGATTGATTGATAACTAGTGTAGCAACTATACTAAAATCTCTCAAAAGACAACCCCACACTTAACAGGGTCAATGAGAAATCATGATTCCAGTCAGTTTGACAATAACAGTGACCCAAAGGATGAAACTAAAATAGGACAGCCAAATGGGGAGGGCAGCTTCTCATCAGGTGACCAGTGACCAACCAGGCCTTCAAAGTGAACACACTGCTGCTGATCCCTGTGACGTGTCTCAGGTTAATCTTTAGTAGATGAGACTAACCTACATCCTGAAAATGGCTTAGTGTGAGTCCGGCTGAAGGTTTAGTTAAGGATCAGTAGCCTGTCATGTCTCAGATCAAATGTCAGTTGTAGGTGAGTAGGACAAAATAGTGGGACGAGCTTTACAGGGCAAGAATATTTTCATAAAACCTTTTCCTTTAGCTTAGGAAAATGTAATAACCGCAATAAATGTTGATGCCGTCAGCCCTTTTTACAGGTCAAAAAGTCTTTGTTTCTGCTAACATTGGGTAAAAGGTGGGGTTGCGTGCGCTAACATACAGAAAGACAACTAATCACACTCCCGTTTACATCTATGGGATTTTAAAGAACCAAAAAGACCAGTAGGTTTGAACTAACAAACTGCCCACAAACTATCACAAGAAACTGAAAAAAGCCTTAGCCCAGCATGGATTACTGAATGGGCCTACTGGGCATACTAAACTTAAAATGACCACAGATGAGAGACACAAACATACTACAGAGAGACCAAAAGAACTACAAAGAGATGCCAAACAGCTGCTAACCGTCACAAAAAGACTACAAACAGAGGCTAAACGGTTGTTTTGTTTTTTTCACGCCCTGGTTTTGAACAGGACCAACTTAGTGTTTGTAAAGACACCTTGAGCAAAATCTATTTATGCACAATATTAACCTGAACTGTTGAAACAACATCCATAATACTCATCTGGCTGCTACTTAGAAATTATTTATCTATTTACCTAATATATCATATTCCAATAACTTGCTTATAGACTCTTATTGCACTATTTCACTTTTTTAAAGTACTATTTACTATTTACTTGACACGATATTTTTCTGTTTATCTGTGTTTTGTGTTGCACTGTTGGAGAAGCCTGTGACCTAAGATTTTCATCGGCATAACTACACTGTAGCTCTGTTCGTATGACTAAATAAAGAACCTTAAACCTTGAATAACATCTTTGTCAGTTTTGCACTGGAAGTTGCTGAAGTAGAATGACGTGGCAAGTCTAAGAGGAACTGATTGGATAGACTGCCAGATTATAATTAAATAAGTGGTGAGGACTTGGCCTCCTTCCGCTTGGCACACAGCACTATGCTAATGATGTATAAACACACGATGATGCAAACACTAACCTCTGTTATGGCCATGTTAAATGAAGGTATGGAATGGTACTAAATACATCAACTCTAATAAATAACTTCATTTCATGTCGGAGGTCATTCCTATTTATTGTTTAATATTTACATGCTAAACTTCATGCTCTAACTTCACTACTACTAAAAGGGAAACTTTCAGATTAGAGTTTAACATCCCCTCCCTGTCCGAAGAAAACCAACTTCATCCAATTTTTGATTTGTATTTTGTTCCTACTTCTTAAGGTAAAAACTATTTAAAAACCAGCTTGAATGAGCGGGGAACGCAATGTTCAAGATAAAAAAAGGCAGTTTATGAAAAGAGATAAATGCTTCTCACAGGACAGCTACGAAACAAACGTACGATGATCTTATAGAAAAGGATGCATTGCTATACACAAAACAGTATATATGAGTTCAAATGAGTTGTGCACATCAGTACAATATTCATTCACATTAATGCAGCAGTCATATCCAAAAGTAGTATCATTTGCTGTAAATACTTACAAAGTTTTGCTAAAGTAAGTGTTGAATGCAGGACTTATACTTGTAGGGTCGTTTTCACAATGTTTTAGCAATTTTACATAAGGAAAGGATCTGAATACTTCCTCCACCACTGGTTTAATGTATAGGTGAGGTATTGACATGCAAATTAAAAGAGATATGAAAAGTAATGTGAAGCCAGTGTCTTATAGGCTTGAAGTGTACAGACCTTGGTATGTTTTCAACAGCTACAGACAAATATGATGTGATGTTTACATGTCCATTCAGGGCCTCACTTTCTCCACCTCATCTGCAGATCTAGAAGAATCTCTTACCTTCCTCCTTCCTGATCAGAGGTTACGGCTCCTGATTGTTTAATCTCATCACGGGGGATTGGTGCCATCAGGTCCAATCCGCTGCCGACCTCAACCCAAAGCCAGCAGCAGGGATCAGCTGGGATGAAGAGCAGTGGGACAGCACAGATCATTCAGTGTGAAGAAGCAACCGGACTACAGCAAGGCAAACAGTCAATGAGCTCTTAGGAGCCAAAACATTTCTCGTTACTTTGGGGATCCCACCATTCTACAGGTAAAGATTGCCGATTGTAATGTTGTTGGTTTTCCATCATTGAAAGCAGATTTGTAGGTATTTTTTGTGACACTTTTAAAGTTTTTGTCTTGATTTCCTCTTAGAGTCAGGATGGCTCGGGATATGTCAGATAAGGAAATCTTAAAAATGGAGCTGGAGCAGTTGAAGAAGGAAGTTAGCACAACTAGGACACCAGTAAGTAAACTACCTCTTTAAAAATAATGTCTTGCCATCAATTGTGAGCAATCTTTTCAGTATTATTTCAATTTTTCAGCCTCTTTGAATTGAAGCAATGTGCAAGGGATGAAAACAGTTTCAATTATTTGTAGCATGCAAGTTTAATGTTCCATCTTTATGTCTGAAAAGGTGATCTTTGCTTTGTCAACCTTAAATGTGTTTCCATCTTTCCTCCCAACAACAGCTGCTTGCAAACTGTGCGGAGACTGTTACATTCGTTGAGGAACTCCTTCCTAATGATCCGCTGATAAAGGGCGTTCCAGATGACAAGAACCCCTACAAGGGAGACAAGGGAGGCTGTATAGTAACATAGCACATGGACATGCAAGGAAACATCAAACAGTTTTTTATGAGAACCTGTTACATTGCTGTAATAACCCTGTAGAAATGTAAAAGAAAACTAAGATCTGTAATGGTATTGCGACCAGGAGAGAGACCCTTTTCCATCACCGGATTACTGTATGTACCTGTTGATAGGAAAATGTTTCTTTGTCAATTTGTAATTAAATGCAAATAGCTGTACAAAGCTTTGACCTGACTTGACTGCTCTTATTATCGTTGAATATAAGCAAAGCTCACTTTTATTGTACTACTACTGCACTTTCATCTAATTTTATTACACTGCTAATGTTAAATAGGCTGGATTATATTGTTATATTGCTATATTGGTTGGTGTGTAAATGTGCATAAGTCAACATGACACTCAGCTGTGTAACCGTGAAAAGCAGGGCAAAGTCACAGGAGCTGTGCACTTACTGCTTAGTCTAATTCTTAATAGGATTTCTCGTTCACACTGACACAGAGCTGCTTCCGGTATCAAAGTCTTTAAGCTTGTTCCAGCGGCTTCACCCCTGCTCCCATTTGGAGCCCTGCATCCAATTAGTGTCATGTTCAATCTGCTCACCAACAAATACACATAATGTCTTGGGTATGATTTCATTTGTAGGGGCAGGCTTTATTCCTAACACTATAATACATTTAAAAACACAATTCACACTGCTGCATTAACACTTTTTTAAATCAAATGATAGATAGAATCGGAGGGATGAAACCCTCTTTAACGGTCACACATGCAGAGCACACAGCACAGTGAAATGTGGCCTCTGCATTTAACCCATCCTAGTAGTAGGAGCAGTGGGCAGCTATTGCACAGCGCCCGGGGAGCAATGGGAGTGGGAGGGGGGCTCCATATTTAGGTCTGGTCGGGGACTTGAATCAGCGACCCTACGGCTCACAGTCCAAGCCCCTACTGACTGAGCCACTGCCGGACTTTAGGCATTACAAATCAGCACCTTTGCACAAGTGTTTCCAAGAGTACCGTGACCTATTTATGGTTGCTTATCATATACAGCACAGGTTCTCAGGGGTGGGCCACACAGGGGGTACTAAACACTTTCAAAGGAGGCTTATTGAATGGAAGTGAAATACATATGGTTATTAGGTATAAAAAAAATATCAAATAGAATAGCCTAAATGTATGTGAATGGTTTAGAGTTTACATTTCAGTATTTTAAGATAAGTTTATTGCCGTTCCATTTTCAGAAACCAACATATTGTAACGTTCGACAAAGGGAGTCGGAAATAGGCTTCAAGTTCTTGGTGTTTAATAGCTCCTTTGTTCGCACACGGTCACAGGTTACATGTTACAGGTTGCAGGTTCATCAACACTCTGAGCTCTACTCCCTCACTCCCAGACACAAAACAGGGTCAACGTCACGACACCCCAGCCCTCCCCCCTCTGCTCCCCCAACCACAGGCCCGCACACCGACCAGCATTACTGTGCAGCTCCGTGATTGGCAGAGAGACGGGGGACGCTTGAGTGACACACCCAGCACCCTATGCAGGGTCGCTACACTACCCCCCTACTACAAAGTTCCTCGCCCACGAGGGACACATAAAAAACTAGAACAAAAACCTGCAACTAAACACTAACCCACAGCAGCGAGAACGTGTAACACATTTTTCTTTAGTTGAACTAGGAAGGTCTGGGTGGACTACCATCCCTTCCAGTGAGACCAGGGCGCATTCTTGCCCTCTACAGGAACCGAGGGGTCTCACTATAAACTTTAACTACCACACAAAGTCTCTGAACCGACTTGGGGGTCGTGTCTGCCTTCTCGGCAGGGGGGCTGGGGTCAGGGGGACAGGGGGTGCCGGTTCTGGTCCAGGCGGGGGAAAGGGGAAGAAAGTGGGGGGGAACTCAGTCACTGACGGGGGGCTGCTGCTCTGCTCGCCGGGGGACCTGGGTGGGGGTGTCGAGGGGGAGGCCGTGGGCCCCGGTGTCCCTTGGGCATGTGGAGAAGCGACTCCTCTGTAAGGGGCCAACCTGTCTCTGTGGAGCACAACTTTTCTCCCCTTGGGAGGCAGCTGCACTCTGTAGACGACTTCCCCCACCCTCTCCAGTACTCTGCAGGGACCAACCCACTGGCTGTCCAGTTTTGGGCACCGGCCTTTTTTCCGTTGTGGGCTGTAGACCCAGACCAGCACCCCGGCCTGGAAGTGCTGCCCTCTTGTCCTGGTGTCATAGTTCCGCTTCTGTCTCACCCCAGCACTTTTCTGCTGATCGCGGGCAAAAGCGTGAGCGGAATCCAGGCGGTCTTGAAGTCTCCTGGCGTACTCAGGCCCTGGAGGAGTGTCCAGGGAATCTGGCGGTTGACCAAACGCCAAAACAGCAGGGGTGCGAAGCTCTCTCCCTAACATGAGGAGAGCAGGAGAACAGGCTGAGGACTCCTGGACTGCAGAGCGACATGCCATGAGCACAAGGGGCAGATGTTCGTCCCAGTCACGCTGGTGCTGAGACGTGAGGATGGCCAGCTGCTGGCCCATGGTGCGATGGAATCTCTCGACTAGTCCGTCGCTCTGAGGCCGCAAGGGGGAGGTGCGTGTTTTTCGCATGCCCAGTTGTGTGCACATGGAGGCGAACACCCGGGACTCGAAGTTCCTCCCCTGGTCACTGTGCAGGGACTCCGGCACTCCAAACCGGCTGAACATGCCGGCCACCAAAGCATCTGCGACTGTCACTGCTTCCTGATCAGGGAGGGCATACGCCTCTGGCCATTTTGTGAAATAGTCTATGGCAGTGAGGACGTAGCGGTTACCCCTGCTTGACAGAGGCAGAGGCCCCACCACATCAACCGCTACTCTCTCCATTGGGGCCCCCACGGGAAACTGTTGCAGTGGAGCATGGGAACGACCAGGGGGACCCTTACGAGCCATACAAGGGTCACAGCGGCGACAAAAGTCTTCGACATCCCTCCGGCACCGCCCCCAGTAGCAGCCCTGGCGAAGGCGGCGGAGAGTCTTAGTGACGCCAAAGTGCCCGGAGCCTGCCGTTCCATGCATGGCCTTGAGTACCGCCTCTTGCAGACCCTTCGGGACCACCACCTGCCATCTCTTCTCTCCCGTAGCTGGCTCCTTCCACGCACGCTGCAGTACGCCCTGACACAGGCGCAGAGCCTCAAACTGAGACCACAGCCCCTTGGTTGATTTGGAGAACACTGCCACTTCCTCCCACGGTGGCCGCTGCTGCGCCTCGACCCACTGCAGTACAGGCTGTAGGTCTGTGTCCAGCTCTTGCTGTTGCTTCCACTCTGCCACGTCCACTGTCTGGAGCTCCCGGCAAACGACCTCTTCAACTTGACGAGCTGCAGCACAGACGGTGTCCTCCTCCAGCAGCTCCTTTTCACGGGTCTCTCTCTTCTCACAGTAGTGGCATCCGCCGGCGGCACACGGGCGGCGGGAGAGAGCGTCTGCGTTTGTGTGACGCACTCCAGCCCGGTGCTCCACCCTGAAGTCGAAAGCTTGGAGCTCTTCTAACCACCTGGCGACCTGCCCTTCTGGCTCCTTGAATGTCATGAGCCACTGTAATGCAGAGTGATCAGTCCTCACCGTGAACGCCTGGCCACACAGGTAGTATTTAAAGTGCCTGATGGACAGCACCACTGCCAAGAGTTCCCTGCGAGTCACGCAGTACCGTCGCTCGGCTTTGTTGAACGCCCGGCTGAAGTATGCCACCACCCGCTCCCCCTCTGGTGTAGTCTGTGAGAGCACTCCGCCTACGCCCACTCCGCTAGCATCTGTGTCCAGGGTGAAAGGCAGACTGGGTTGGCCGGGGCGAGAACCGGGGCTTCACTCAAGGCACGCCGAAGGCTGTCAAACGCTGCTTGACATTGCTCAGACCAGAGGAAATCACTGTCTTTCTGTAGCAGCTGGAACAGGGGTGCAGCAGTGCAAGCAAAACCCCGTACAAACTTCCTATAGTACGAGGCCAGGCCCAGGAAACTCTTCAGCTCCTTCTGGTTGCGAGGATTTGGCCAGTCCGCGACCGCCTGCACTTTCTCTTGTAGGGTGCCGATGCCTTCGCCCCCCACTTTGTGGCCCAGGAAAGTGACCTCTCTCTGCATGAAATGGCACTTCTCTGGGTGTAGCTTCAGGCCAGCGGCTCTGATCCTTTCCAGCACCACTCTTAGAGATCCCAGGGCCGCCTCAAACGAGCCGCCATGCACCAGGATGTCGTCCAGGTAAACCAAGCACTGCTGACGGGGAATACCAGACAGCACCCTGTCCATCAACCGCACAAAGGTGGCAGGGGCATTACAAAGCCCAAAACTGAGGACCTTGAACTGCCATAGTCCCCGGCCGGTGCAGAAAGCAGTTTTTGGCCTGGCCTCTGGGGCCAGAGGGACTTGGTAATACCCACTGCGGAGGTCCAAGGAGGAGAACCACGACGACCCGGAGACCAGGTCCAGGGACTCATCGATGCGGGGAAGTGGGTATGAATCCTTCTTAGTGACCCCGTTCACTGGCCTGTAGTCTGAGCACAGCCGCCAGCCACCTATCTTCTTTGGGACCATGACTACAGGTGCTGCCCACGGGCTGTCGGAGGGCTCGATGATGTCTGCCTGCAGCATGCTCTGCACTGCCTCGTCACAAGCCTGCTGACGAGCCAGGGGAAGTCGGCGAGGGCGACACTTGATGGGGCGCGAGTCCCCTGTGTCAATCTCGTGTTCTACCAGATGAGTTCGGCCCACCTCCCCCTCACTCATGGCGAAACTGCCCTGGAACTCTAGCAGCAGCTGCCACAATTGCTCTTGCTGCTCGGGATTAAGGCCGCCACAGTTCTTCCTCCACACCTCCCATACTGCCGGCTGAGCCTCTTCCACCCCAGTCTGGGGTAACTGGGGAGGGGCTGTGGTCGGGTGGCACAGGCCGGGGGCGACAGGTGTGGAGTTGCCCTGAGTGGGCGTCACCGGGGATAAAGGCAAAGAGGGAGGATTATTTTCCGTTTCCAGGGTACTCACGGGGTGTGTCCCAGCCGGTTCAGCAGGGGTGTGGAT